GAGTAGCAAAGCTGCATATTGAAAAGGAAATAGCCAGTTTAGTTAGCAGTCTGATTCTCACCTTTCCTCGAATGGGAACACATGCGGTGTGGTAGCTATAATCGAACCTACAGTTGGAACTGTTAAACTATCATCTGCCCGTAAGTTAGCTAATAAAGCTTCGTGAGTTCTTGCAGCAACTGCAACAGGTGGTCTACTTGTTCTAGCAGGTGCAAGCCATAGCATAGGAGGACAAAACTGGTGTCTGCAATCTCTCTCATACATCAGATGCAAGCACCTGATTGCAGATTCCATAAGGGATGTGTTCTGCTGACCAGTACCATGGGACAAGCCATTATACACAAGTGTATTAAGCATTGATGCAAGTTTCCTTTGCTGCTCCAGCCTGAACGGAACCTAGTCCACATAATGAAGTTTACAAATAAGGCATCACATTTGAAAAAATCATACAATGGAGGGAGAGATGAAATATCTTGCCTGTTTTTCATAGAACTCTATGTCGTCTAGAACTAACAGCAGATGAGCATAAGTGGCACTGAAAAGATAGAGCAGACATGACAAATCTTTTGAAATTCCTTGTGGACCACAACTCAGAGATTTTATGTCCCATACATCACGCAAGTCATCATCCCCTTGTCTTGAACTAGATTGATCCTTAACCGAGTCCATATGATCACTGCCCAGTTGTGACTTGCTCGTGAACTTATGAAAGACAGTTACCCTCTTACTATTTCCATCCCTGTTGACTTGCTTTGGCTTTTTGCTAAAAACTTCATCTTTCTTTTTACTTGATATTTTACTTGAGCCAGGAAAGGGACCTTCAGCTTCATCAGCATCACTGGGGAAAAGGGAACTTTCTAACACTCCCCACAAATCAACAAGAAACCCAGGAGTAAAAGATAACATGTTAAGAACAGGTAAGGATCCAACGGGTGGATTCAAAAGTGAAAATATTCTGAGCATGTACATGTAAAAGTATGATATATCGATCAGTTTCAAGCTTTTCATACAGTCTATATTATTTGACTGTGCAGTACTTTTTTCGGAGTGAAGATCTGTATTTACTATTGTCAAAAGATCTGTGAGATGCCTCTGTTCACAAATAGGCCTAAACATATCAATGGGCAATGTGCTTAAGGGCATGGATGCCATTTCATTCTTGAGAACAGCTGCATCAGAGGGTTCATAAGAAGTTAAATTTTCGCTTTGGATATCTTGATTCTCCTTTCTACCACACCCAAAATCCCCAATCAAAGCCAAAAGTCTTTCTGCCAAAGTGATACCCACACGAACATATAACACATAATCTAAACTCTGCTTGAACCAACCAGAATCCCTGGCCTTAGTTTCAGTCCCTGCTGCCAGACATATAATGTTAGCAAGAGCCCATCCAACTGCCGGAACAACCTTAGAGCCACAATCAACTGATAACCGATCCAGGTCAGACATTCCCAATAAAATTGTCTCTTTCTTGGCCTGCCATCAACTGCCACAATTCAATCAGTGCCAAATCAAGATGTTATTGTAAATGTAATCTCTTTGATACTAAAACGTAACAATTGTTAATTTGTCAACTCAAAACGTAACAATTGTTAATTTGTCAACTCACTATAACCAAAATGAATTTTTTTTACACAATGAAATTCTATTAAAATTATTTAGATAGGTACTCGTTATCAAAGCTGCAAAATCAAGAAAATGAATGCATCTATATTTGCCAAAAATTCAGAAAGAAGTAACTCATTTTTTTTCATAACTCCTAAACTTGAGCAAACAAAGTAATTAAATAACCAACAGATACATAATATACAAGTATCATTGGGTTTTATAAGCAGGCAGAAAGTGAGCTATTTAGTTTCAGTGGTGACAAACTAAAATGAAAACCATAAAAAATCTGTTCAACCTCAATGGCCCTTACCAATAGAGTCCAGAAGCATGGTAGCAAGATAGATCGATGCTTTACAGCTGGCACAAGAACTTGAGGCAGATTTTGAACAAGTTCGGGAATTGTAAGTAGAAACAGACAGAACTGTTCAGCCACATGATGCCCTTCCCACGAAGTAGTGCCAATTGCATCAAAATTCATTAGACGAAATGGTCGTAAAGCTAAAGTTATTGCACTCACAGTAATAACAAATAAATCATTTGTCTGGATGGTACTGGTGGTCCGTGAAGATTGGATAACACTCAATTTACACATGTATTTTCTGACGGATAGGTAAAGGCCACTTTCAGAAGTTCCTAGATAATGAACTAAATCCTTCAATGCTGCTTCTGTATCAAAACGATTATTCTCATTTACATTCTTCCACCCATTATAATCAGTGAAGACGACTACCAAGCGCATGGCTAAAGAGGTTGTAACAATAATTTTTTGCTCCTTTGCTTGCAACTTGTCGAAATGAACAAGAATAAATAAGCATACAGAAATAAGTTTCCTTGATTGGTAAGTCCATATTCTTCTTTCTTCAGATGTACCAGTGGCCAAGGAGCAAAAGTTGTTCTTTGATTCTTGACACGAAAATTGATTATAGCATGTCAAGTCCAAAATAGATGTATAGACTAAAAATAAATATATATAACAATAAAAGAAAGAGCTAAATGACGGTAGAAATGAGCAAGGCAATGGAGATTTCATCCAAAATAGTATCGTATGGACTAATTCTCTTTCTCTCACATTTTTCCAATTTCCACTCCCCAAACACTAATCAATTTTTGCAAGCTTACTAAACTCAAATTAATATTGTGAGGATTTCTGGTAGATTTTTTTAGTACAAAAAATGTGATGTATGGAAATTTGAGCCTCAAACCTACCAGTATTTGAGGATTGAGACGCTTCCATTTCAAATCGTGATTACTACGCAAAGTCTTCCTCCAAAACCACATATGTATGTTTTCAACAAATGTGCCCAAAGGAGTCAATATGATATTTTTCCAGTTTCTTTAATTCCATGTTCTGGAGACTATCAAATCAAGTAGAGTATAGCACACAAATTACATGCCACTTTAAAGTTAAAATATATCTAGAATATAGGCATCCCAAAACCCACCATGCAATATCAGTTTGTAACTCAACTTACCAAATTAAGATACAACTCAGCCTATTCTGCTGTTTTTTGACGTGATAATAAGATTTATCAATTGGATCTTAGAACTCAGTCTAAAATGAAATGCAAAAAGATGAAAAAAATAATAAAGAGTATCGGTGAAGAAGTGGATACCGGTAGAATTGATGCTTTCAAACAAGATTGTAAAGCAATTCTTCATACAGTCTATATCTCTGGTCTGGATATTTTGGGGTCGTTTCAGAAAAGATGAGATAAAGAAGAGAAACGGTCTCAAAATATTATAGGAAATGAACGTGCCAGCCAGAGCACCAGAACGATTATTCACCAACTCTTCCCAACTTTCTTGAAGCTGCAAAGCAGCTATCTTAGTCACTCTGTAGCGCCTCCATACTCTCTGCATCAATTAAGAAACGAGATTAGTAATTTCAAACTTTGAGAACTTGCCTTTGTTACCAGGAGAAGCTGCATAGATATGAAGAGTAAACATCCAACTTAATTCAATTACATAGAAATATAGGAACAATGATCAAACCCACAAACCATTCTCCATTGCAACTTAACTATCAGTTGCTAGAACGTGCAAGATAAACTAAGAATGGCACTTGAAGACCGCTAGAAGTAAATGTAATAGACCTGAATAAAGAGAGCCGCAGCTGCAGCTTTTCTTGCATATTGACGTAGCTCTCTCTCCTGGATAACCTTCTGAACAAGAGCATCCCTTGTAATTTCTTTTGCACTCGCTCCCCTCAATGATACCTGAGAATATCTCGTTAGGAATATAAAGAGCTTGGAAGTTATAGAACAGTAATTTTTTAGTCCCAAACAATAAAAACCATAGCAAACTAACCAAACCAAACCAATCCCCAAGTTCCATATTATTCCCACGCCAATTGCTCGCAAATCAGAGAACGAAAAGAAAGAGGCAGCTAATCCAAAGAAAATGTCCGGCTCAAATTAGATATAAAATGGATGTAGTAATTTAAGCTTCGACCACGATGAGAATTTCGTTTCAATACTAACGAACGAATAACTACCGACGGAGGAGAAGGTCATAGTAAAAGACCATATTCATGAAACAGATGAATTTGTGTATACTTTCTGGTAGCTGGTTTAAAATTCAATCCTAGAGAGGGAAGGTGAGAGAGAGAACCTGATGCTTGGAAGCTTTGTCCATGGACATCTAACGATTGTTGGAGCCAAGCTCCAATCCACATTCGCTTCCTGTAAACGACGAGCCGCTAAAAGCTAGTTATCAACGCTTTCCAAATCCAATCCAAACCAGCTGCTGGAATTGGAATTTTCAGCGATCATAACACGATGGATCAACAAATATCAAAGAGACTACTCTGAAATTCCTGTCGTAAAGATTTTGGATCTGATGCAGATGATGAAACATCCGTCGCAACCTTGTTTCATCGACGAGTGATCGTTCCACCGCTACGCTTAAGGCCCTTGTCCCTTCGCCGACGGCAAACACTACGCACGTCTCCGGTGCCGGAGGTCCAATCGTTGAAAAAAATTTGTGCTTATCCAGAAAATAACAATTGTAATAAAATAGCTTATCAGCTTTACTCGCGTATTGGATTGACGTGGCGCTCTTTGTTCCATCTGATTCTCAATTTCTTTATTTCCCCTAAAAATTGACCGTATGAAATTTATTCTTCATTTAAAATAAAATAAAAAAAACAGGAATTTTTTAAATAATGATTAAATTAAAAAAAATATATATATATATACATTTTCAGATCTGTGGTAGAAACTTTTTAAATTTAATATTATTATTATTATTATTATTATTTAGTTTATTGTTTTCTCTCAATTTCATCGGATAAATACTTTATAGCCAGGCCCAATACGAAGCCCAAACTCAATAGTTGGGCCCAAAAGATTGTCCAACAATTGCAATATAAGCTACCGAGTCATTCGGTGAGATTTTGTCTCCTAGGGTTTTTCATCAACAGCGCGGCGGGAAGCTTAGTATCGCAGCGGCCATGGTTCTCAAGTTCGTCAAAATACTTCCATCTCTATTTTCATGCGTTCTTAGATCTGATGCCATATCCTCTGTTTTCGTTCTATATGTCGGCGTGTTTTTGTGGTTCTGTTTTCGCATTTGTACGTGCATTGTTCATGCTCGAGAGATCTAAGGTTTTGCGTGTGTTTGAAGTGAGAAATAGGCTTATTTTTAGAAGTCTTCCTTTTGAGATACTTCAAATCTTTAACGAAGTTCCGTGTTTTTTTTTTTTTTTTTTTTTGTGGGTTAAATATAGATACTTTACTTATTAGGCGTGATTACGGTTGCTATATGCAACATGTCTGTGCACTGAGGTACTGGCGTGGTTAATTGGGACCAGCATCTGTTATGTTTTTATAACCTGGTTGGAAGGAAGTATTTCTGATGGAAATTTAGGAACAGGATATGTAATTTGAAGGGGAAGGTTTAGAAGATGAGTTTTTTTTTGTTTCTTGGACCTGTTATTGTAGTTTAATGTTTGAACAAACGGGTGTGGTATAATTTTATCATAAACTAAGTTCGAGAACTTCGAGATTCACGTGCTCAATCTTGTTCATGGGCTCTGTATGTTGGAAAAGAAGTATATGAGCTAGTAACTTTTGAGTCATGAATTCTGCCCCTAATAGTTTGATACTAATCTTTCAGGACTGAGCTTTGTCGATTCAGTGGGGCCAAGATATACCCAGGGAGAGGCATCAGATTCATCCGGGCCGATTCTCAGGTGATTTTGGTTACTGTATTTTAGATTATTTTGAGATAAACTGATATTTTTTTAGTTTAAACAATTATAGAAAACGTTGTAAACCCTTTCTTCTCTAATTAACCCCAACCTCTACAATGGTGCTTGGAGGAGTATTGTTTGATTTATTTGAATTATTCTCTGTTCCTTGCTTGTTTGACATTTTTGCTGTCAATTCGTTAGGTGTTTCTCTTCGCCAACTCAAAATGCAAGAGGTACTTCCACAACCGGCTGAAGCCATCAAAGCTTACCTGGACAGCCATGTATAGGAAGCAGCACAAGAAGGTAATATTAAGATTTTCTATCGACACTTTTTCTTTTTCTTTTTTTCTCACGAGGACCAGTGAATGAATATTGTCTGTAAATACCAAATACCAACTCTATCACTTGGATAATGATTCTCTTCATGCAAACTTGATTCCACTGAAAATAGTTAATCTCGAAAGAATCTCACAATGGGGGATTACAAACTAGTCAGGTTTCTAGTCTACTGATGGGATCTAATGTGGATTTAAGTTTCACCTTAACTCATATACTGAGCTCTAGGATTAATTTTGCAAATACAAGTCACATTACTCAACATTTAAATCCTTACAATTAAGTGTAATAACTAAATCCATACCTAAGAGATCTCACTTTAACCACATAGATGAAGGCTTCTCTTTGAGTGTTGTTTTGCTGGCTTGCTGTGGGCAATTGATCTTTATCCATTTTATTTTGACATTTGCAGGACATTGCTCAAGAGGCTGTAAAGAAGAGGAGACGTGCCACCAAGAAGCCCTACTCCAGGTCCATTGTTGGTGCAACATTGGAAGTCATCCAAAAGAAGAGAGCCGAAAAGCCAGAAGTGCGTGATGCTGCTAGAGAAGCTGCTCTCCGGTTCGTCCTCTTAAGAATAAAGATTGAACTAGAATAGAAATTTTGTATTTCAGCTTATGAAGATTTTTGATTGAATTGCAGTGAAATTAAGGAAAGGATTAAGAAAACCAAGGACGAAAAGAAGGCCAAGAAGGCAGAAGTGATGGCCAAGTCACAGAAGGCGCCAGGTAAGGGTAACGTTCCTAAGGGAGCTGCACCCAAGGGTCCAAAGCTGGGTGGTGGCGGTGGAAAGCGTTGATCCTTCTATTAGGTTTTGTTTTGTGATTTAAATTGCCAGATTTGGTAGATAGGACATTCTGATAATTTTGCGTTCTTTTTTGTGTTATGAGAAGTAATCCGTATTAATTGATAAACTTAATGTGCACTTATTCGAGTGGTTAATTTCCAGTTTAAATTTTATATTTGAAGTCAGAAGATTGATGAGATTACTTCATTTTGATACTCTTAAGAAATGTTGGTTTAACTTCATATAAACTTAGAGCTATAATTAATTCTTTTTGTTAAAAATTTTATATAATGCATGTTTTCCCTTGTCATATAGTTTATAAAATATTATATTTATTTTAGTTTTTATTTTCAAGTTTTAAATACATTTAAAACACACTAATGTTTACATATATTTTGTCATACAATGGTGATGGATAGAAAACACACGTGTCGATGTACATTTATTGATGGATACAAAGCAAGCTGGTCTTGTCTTTTTATATATATATATATATATATATATATATATATAATTTTTCTTTTCTAAAAATTATTTCTTTTTACCGGTTACTCTAATTTGTAATAATGTAATCTTTATTTTGATTTTTGTAACCATTTAGTTTTTGAACTTTCATATAAAATAATTAATTTTTACTATGATTTAGTTAAAATACTTCCATTTGCAATGATTGAGTTCCCATCCTTAAAATTATGACTTAGGTTTAATGAGAATTTTTAATTTAGGTCAATAAATGAGAGGATCCAATATATTCTTATCCTTAAAAGTTGATCGCCAATTGAGAATGGGTGTTACCACCGTCACTGTGCATAGGTACTCATCTTCGATGATTGAGGATGGGTGTTACCATCGTCGATTGTGCATGGGTACTCATATTCGGTGTTGCCGCCCGTCAAATTGGCTGCTTCAAGTTACGGGAGTGAGAATCAACGTTGGTGGTGGAATAATTTCCAAGCAAGTCATTACTTCAACCGATGCTTGGTCAAGTCTTTCGCCCGTCAGCTCTAGTCAGTGAAGTTTTTTCAATCACCAACGATGTTCAAGATGGCCGAAGTTGAATCCACATTAATTTTCTTATAATATTATATAACTAACTACATCGAGTCATTGTTCCCATTTCTCCCAACAATCCTCAACGAAGTCCCCTCTTTTCCATCAAACAAATTTTACTACATTGTGTTGCACCAGGTGTGTCCTCGTGCAAAAACATGCAGATACATACAAGCCATATGGTGAGGACCTCTACTACTACGATGTGATATTTCTTGGTCTAACATTCAACATAAAGTCAAAATGTAGCATAATTTAATAGTAACTTATAAGCACATTTTCGACTTCATCTTCTTCTCCACATTAAAACGTTTTTATACCTTTAAAAACAATGTTTCCAAAATCATGAGAAAATATGTTTTAAACTTAAAAACAGAGCTAAAATTTTCAAGATTTCAATCAAAAAAACTAACAACAACATTATGATCCAACATAAACTCTAATTAGAATCAAATATGAACATATATCCTTAAAATCATCAAAAGCCCATCCAAACCCTAATCATTAAACAGATCAATCAATGAACACAAACACATAAATTAAATTTATTAAACTGGGATCTCATTAGATCAGCACAGAAAGTTCAGATCATATAACCTCAACTCTTTCTCAATAATTTTTTTTCATAAAATTCTCCATTTTTTTTCCTTAATATATAAAATAAAAAACACAGATTTGAGGTGGTATGATCTGAACTGTCCAAACAAATCCCAAGACCCAGATATTAGAAACTGTCGAATTTCAACACTAATCTCTAAAAAAAAAACCCTAATTTAACCTCTCACTTCACAATCTTACTTTTTCATGAAATTAAAAAAAAAAAAAAAAACAAAAAAACCAAAGCAAACAAGTTTACTGGGGATGATAAGACGATGGGAGCGTCCCCCAGAATGTTGGAGACATGGGGTTGTACTCCTCAGTGTTGAACACATAGTTGCACTGCTCCGGTGGCGTCGGGTATTGGTTTGCTGCTGCTGCTGCCACCGCCGCCGCACTCGGCTTGCTCGAGCAGCCAGCTCCGACCGAGGTGCTCTCCACCGTCTCCTCCCCCGACAATTCAGTGTACACCGTTGACACTTGGTTCCTCGCAGTTTGAAGCTCTCTCAGCATGCTTTTCAGTTTCATTACCTACAAGGGTTAAAGACGATATTCATCTTTTCTACATTCAACGGTTCAAAACTGCCAATCACATTGACTAAAAAAGCTCCGAACTTTCTATTTCAAATGCAACGAAATTGTGTAAAAACGAACGATTTATGAGATATATTCAAGATCGAATCAAGTATAGACAAACCCTAATTCAATTCTCTAAAGCTGAAGTACTTTTTATGATTAAAAAGCACTTATATGATTTATGAGATATATTACAAGTAATTTTGTTATAAAAAGCCCATAATTTAGTTCACTAATTAAGTTGAGATCTTAAAAAGATTTGAAAAAAAAAATTAAACTTCATAGATCAAGGGAAAAAAAGCATACCTCCTCTTGAAGCTTATGTTTCTCTCTAGAAATGGCATCGAACTCTTGTTTGAGAGTGTCGTAGAGGTGCTCGAGTTGCTTCGCCTTCCACCGCGCACGGCGGTTCTGAAACCAAACAGCGATTTGGCGCGGCTGCAGACCGAGCTCCTTGGCCAGCTTCTGCTTCCGGTCGGGATCGAGCTTGATCTCCTCCTGGAAGCTTTGTTCGAGTGAGTCGAGCTGCTCGCTGCTCAGCCGCTTCTTCTTCTCCAAATTTCCATAGCTGTTCATGTCCATCCCTGGAACCAGCCCTTGCAGCACCGTCTCCGACGCCCCCGCCATCGCCGAATGCTTCACATCCATGCCTGCTCATGGAAGCAAAACCCCAGAGACAAGATTAACAAAACTCTACAAATCTTTCAATTATTTTATATAATTAATTATATCCTCCATGGATCTGCAAGAAAATCATGTTCGAAAAACATGAAACATTCGTTAAAAAAACCACCTCCGTTTCAGATCTTCGATTATCCGTTCGTTTAGTGACAGTTACTTGTCGGGAAAAAGAAAGAAAAAAACACAAAAAAAAAGAACAATTTAAAAAAAAAAAAAGTGGAAATATCAGATTTTTCTGATCTGGGTGTCATTATTTTTAAGTTTATAACCACTAGAACAAATCAAATAAACAAAACAACAAATTCATTAAAAACACACACACACACACACACACACACACACACACACAAAAAAACACAAAAAAGAACAATTTTTTTATAAAAAAAACACCTTAAAAAGTGGAAAGATGAGATTTTTCTGATCTGGGTGTCATTATTTTCAAGTTTATAACCACTAGAACAAATTCATTAAAAAAAAAAAAAAAAAAAACCCTCAAGAACACTGAATATTACCCTGATACTGTTCAAGATTATAGTTATAGAGAAACCCAAATGAAGATTCCGGCGCTCGAGAAACAAAGGGTCTGAAACTTCCGGTGGCCCACTCCATGTTTTCCGGTCTCCGGTGAAACTTCCCGATCAGATTAGCTTCAAATGTTGAAGATGGAAGTGAGGGTTTTGAGTGGGAATTGAAGCTACAAATAGAGAGAGAAACAGAGAGAGAGGAGAGAGAAAGTGAACTTTAGGGCAATTGAAAATTAGGGCTACAAATGAGGAGGGTGAGAGTCATCAGTGTTGAAAAGTGTTCATATGCCTTTGCTCTACTGTTTATCACTTTTCTTTTCTCTTGCCTCCTCTCTATTTTTCTATATATATATATATATATATATATATACACATACATAAATGCAATATCTTATCCACCAAAGAGAGAGAACGCAAACAAAAAACGATCAAATACCGTGTAGAACGACGTAAATATTATCTTTAAAATCATTGTTTTATCGTCACGAATTAAAGTTTTGATTTTTACGTCGTATAATGATAAACTATGTTATTTCAATTTCTTTAAAAAAAATGATATTTTAATCATTTTAATACTTATTTTCTAAAATATTTTAACGGTTTTTAAAAAATTAATCTGGGTGTGTGTGACGGCGAACTATATTATTCTAATCTGGTTAAATCATTTTTTTTAGAGGGATAATGTATTATATGTACTTAATTAAGAGTATTTGGATAAAGTTGAAAAGCTATATCTTAGTGACATAATACAATTAATTAAACTAAGTAATCTGTGTTGTATATTTTGACATGAGTTTTAATTAACTTCATTATTATTTCTATATATATATATATATATATATATATATATAGGTGGACCATAATTATTAATGTCAACTTTATGAGTATGCAAAGGGAAACGTGGTTTATGTAATAATTAGTGTGTGATTAATTTTTTATTTTCAAATATTCTAAATTCACTTAAAAAAAATATTATTTAGTGATTTTATATTTTTAAAACATTTTTTAAGAATTAATAAATAAAAAGCTTTATATCGAGTTTTATTAATTTTCTTTTAATTTTAATAACCAAATTAAAATAATTTAAGCTTTTTTTTTATTTTTATAATTAATACTTAAGGCCCCACCAAAATAAAAAGGCTAGATGATTAAGGGTAAATTCATAATCATAATTAATTGAATAATCTCTCCCCTCTTAAATATTTATTTATTCATTTTAAAATATATTTTTATAATTAATTATTTTAAAATATATATTAATTAGTTAATTTAAATGATAAAATTAGTGTAAGTGGACCCAAAATTAGCAAATCTGTTTGACTTTGTTTCTTAGCCTAATACTAAATCATCCCTTTTAAAACTAGAGTCAAATGGATTTGGTAATTTGTTTAGTTTTATAATAATTTTCGTAATTAATCCATAATTATTCTATAAATTAATTAACGACTAATTTTTTATTATTATTATTAGGTTTCAAATAATGTATTTAATTATTGATAAATAACAATTTTCCATCCAAATATAAACTCAATTGGTTAAGACATATATTTTCGTTCATGTTTAAATTATATATTTATTATTTATTTATTTACTTACTTTTTGAGTTCGAGCACGACAAAAAATTAATTTGAATTTAATGGAGACATACTCATAACTACTTGTCGAGAAGCCATTGCATTTAAATCAAATCACGGATAGATATTTTAAATATATTTAAATTGATAAATTAGATTAAAATCAACGTGAATATAGTTCAATGGAGTAAAAATTAAAA